CATCAGCCTAAGCCTTAACCTCAAGTGGTATTGGAACACTTCTGTTCTTTCTCTGGACTCCATGATTACCATGTGGACAAGTATATAGTACTGGACAACAGAAACACTTGGCCCAACCCCTTGCCTCTCATCTGATAGCCAAACAACCATCTAACACAGGGATGAAGCCTTTCAAGGCCAAGCAGGCCTTAGCCAACCTGCTAGCTGAACCTGATGCATGAGTTGGCCACACTAAGATCAACCTAACCCAGCCCAGGTCAGTAGAACTGCATGACTGATCATAGGCTTGGTGCTTTAAAGTGCTAAGTTTTAGGGACACTTCTTACACAGCAATAGCCAACTGATACACTTACTCATTTCAGAGAAAGGGCACATATATGACATATTGGTATGATATCCTTTAAGCATTCCTTCACCCACTCATTTATCCCACAGAACTTGACTGAAGAACAACTACCAGATCATAGGTCCTCTTGCAAGCTCTGTATATACAATGTCCATGATTCTTTATTATTGACATTCTAATGGGTGCAACCAAAAAATAGATCAATGAAAAAATATATCAGTATTTTAAGTGGTGTGTAAGCAATATATTGGTCTAATATCCATTATGGACCATTTAAAATTATATATGGTACAGAGTAACTTTTTGGTTACTTTAGGATTGATGGCCAGAGAAGCCTCATTGAAGAAAGTGTTAGACTGAACTTAACTAAGGAAGTGGAAAACTTCTACGATGAAAACTACAGTATGCCCAAAAAGTAAATCAAAGAAGACATTCCCTGTTCCTGGATAGACAGAATCAATATAGTCAAAATGGCCAAACTTCCAAAATTGGTATACACCTTTAACCCAATGCCAATAAAAAATACCGACAACATTCTTCATAGACCGGGAGAAAACAATCCTAAAATTCATATAGAACCAGAAGAAACCCAGAGTAGCAAAAGAAATGCTGGTAATAAGAGGAAAGCAGATAGCATCACAATCCTGACCTTAAAGTTATATTACAAAGCTACAATAATAAAAGCAGTACAGTACTGGAACAGAAACAGACATGTGGATCAATGGAACAGAACAGCACATGCACATACGAACCCAGGCACATATAATGATTTGATCTTTGCCAGAGGAGTAAAAAACTTCCACTGCAGGAGAAAAAGCCTTTTTAATAAATGGTGTTAGGAAAACTGGCTATGTACATGCAGAAAATTGAATCTATACCCATATCACTCATAACGTACTAAACTAAAATCTATATGGATCAAAGAACTAAATGGTAAAATAGAAACACTTAATCTGCTGGAAGATAAAATAGTTAAAACTCTTGAAGTGATAAGCATAGGCAAAGGCTTTCTGAAGAGAACTCCAGTTGCACAAGAAAGAGTACCAAGAATTAACAAGTGGGATCATATCAAATTAAAAAGGTTCTGCACAGTAAAGAAACATTCAACAGAGTGAAAAGGCAACCTAAAGTATGGGGAAAAATTTTTCCAGCTATTTCTCAGACACAGGATGAAATCTAGAATATACAAAGAACTCAAAAATACTTAGACTCCCCAATCAAAAAATGGACAACTGAAATGAATAGACACTTCATGGAAGAAGTACAAATGGTCAATAAATACATGAAGAAATGTTCAACATTGCTGGTCATTAGAGAACTGAAAATTAAAATAACACTAAATTTCCATCGTTCCCCAAAAAGAATGGCCATCATTAAGAAATCAAAGAATAACAAATGCTGGCTAGGCTGTGGGGGAAAAGGAAGCCTTCTACATTGTTGGTTGGAATGTAAACTAGTGCAACCACTATGGAAATCAATATGAGTTTCCTCAAAAAACAAAAACTAGAGGTTACATTTGATCCAGCTATTCACTTTCTAGGTAGCATCCAGGAGGAGTTAAAGACATTGTGTTACATGCATCCCTGTGTTTATAGCAGTGCAATTCATAATAGCTAAATCTTGGAAGCATCCTATATGTCCATCAACAGATAAATGGGTAAGGGGCTGGGGATTTAGCTTAGCAGCAAAGAGCCTGCCTGGCAAGCGCAAGGTTGTGAGTTCGGTTCCTGGTATCAGAGAAAAACAAACAAACAAACAAAAAAAACAGATAAATTGGTAAAGGGAATGTGGCATATACACATAAGGGAGTACTGTTCTGCCATAAAGATAAACTTGAGCCATTTGTAGGAAAATGGATGCACCTTGAAACCATAATGTTAAGTGAAATAAATCAGACACACAAGCTTATATATTCCATGGTTCTCTTATGTGAGAAACACCAAGCATAAATGAAGAACAAAATGAAAGATAAATAATAGGAAATAGATAAATCTTTCTCAAAAGAGACAGGGATCAAGAGATGGAGGGAAGGGATGCAGGGGAGGGAAAGGGATGAAAAAAGGAGAAACGATGCGCTATATACACACACCAGCTCCACATAAGAAGTGAAACATTATGTACCACAAAAATTTTTAAATTTTTCTAAATTTAAAAAATAAAAAAGAAAGTGTTCTATTGAGATTGAATGTCAGTGTAGAATAAGCCACATAAAGACTGGAGGACAAGATCTCTGTGCAAACACAAGAGCAAGTGAAAAGGTTCTGAGGCTGGAAAACAGTGTATCTGAGGGTCAGAAAGAGCTCATCTAGAGACTGAGTACAAAGGCGAGAGAGGCAAGGATGTAGCCTGATGGACTTTTAATCCAAGTTGAAGAATTTGGATTTTATGCTTAATGCACTGAGCAGATCTTCGCTTTTAGAACAGGAGAGTAACATAATCTGATTAACTTTTAAATTGATTCCTCTGACTGGTGAGCATAGAGTACTTACCAGGGGCGGGCGTGTGGAGCAGCAGAATGAGCTAGGAAGCACAGGAAACAGGGCAAGTATGGTAGCCATGGAAAGTAAGAGAAGTTCATTTTAAAGAAAGAAGTGGACAGGGCTTGGGGTGGATGTGCAAATGGAAACTGAGGCAGGGGAGGGGAGGTCAGTGGTAGATCTTTGGTAGCTGAATGAGCAGAAATGGAAAAGCCTTGGGGAGGAGCAAGTGTGGGGCTAGAGATTCACATCTCAGATGCCCGCCAGGATCAGAGAGGCCAAGTATGTGGAGGGCAGCATGGATCTCATGCTCTGGGATGGGCTCCACACTGGGCCACTGCCATTAAGGTGACCTAAGCCTTGGACCAGATGAGCATCACCAGGGATGACTTCATCGCCGGGTAAGAGGATGAGTTTACATCAGGTTGAACCAAAACATTTTCTGTCTGAAATGTGCATGTGATTTTGGCCCCTAAAAAGGCATCTTTTACCCTGAAATTCTGTCCTCAGTGCTTATGTGTGTACTCAATATCAAAGTTTTCACCTCCAAGAGTTCATTTAGACCCTTTCTCGGGGGAAGACATTTAGTAAGTGGTCCAAATGGACCTAGAACAACTCATCGGCTAATCTGCATGCAATTCTGTTTTCTGGGACAGTTAGGGGTTAAGAAGCAGAGCACTGAAACTTTAATGTTATTTGACCGGAGCTGAAGGTTACCTTTCAATCACTAGGTCTTTTTTCTTTAACTTTTAAAGGCTTTGGTAATTATTCTGAGCTTAACTTTGTAACTGCTCTGCTACAACTTTCTGCTGTAAGGAACCCATCTCTGACCTGTGAAAGGAAATTATCACAGGAGCAAAATCAGATTTTAGCTAAAGTCAAGACACATTAAATCTGGTGCTTCTCAGCTGAACACAAGCCTCTCCACCCCTGACAGGCTTGTCCCAGTTGTGTGGAGACAGATACAATAAATAGTTTCGATGAAGGTCCCTCTGTCTTAAAAGGAAATTAGACTGTTCTGACAATATGTCCCCCTCACTAAGTTGCTGGTTATTATCCAGCACCTATTTTTCTCTAGGTGTTTGCAAATTGATTGCTTAATGTTTTGCATTCTTCTATGTCCACATTTGGAGATGGAGTAGCCACCTATATAATTCCCTGTGCAAGTGATATGTTTGTCCTTTGCTGGTCTTTGCTGGCATTCCATTCATATACCCTCACAAACACATACACACACATACACATACACACATACAGAAGTTTAGAGCAAGTTGTTCACACGTATAATTTCTGACTCAGAACAATTTCTTAAGCTTGGTATTTATTGACACCATGTATAGAAAAGCCCTGAGCTATCCATGAGGACACATTAGCTTGCAAGACAGAGTAGATTCATGTCATTATTGAGCTTAAGATGTATGCAAAGGCCCTGAGGTAAGAAAGAGCTTAGTTTGTTTCTAGAACAGAAAGCAAAAGGAAATGGACCTTAGGAAGAAGGTGAAATCAAGGTGAAATGTACATATTACTGGGTATTTTATGGGTATAGTGAATACACAACACCATTTGCCAAGAACTGTCCTAGTTTAGACATTTGTTCCTCTGTAATTGTGGGTAGGCCTACTTTCACTCTGAGAAGCAGCCTGGTTTGTAAGATATATGGTCATCCTTCTGAAAGGACATGTCAGAGGTGGGACTTTATAATATGTGAAATGGGAAATCATCAAGGGGTAGTGAGTCAGGAGGGTCATGACAGATTGGATTTATGTTTTCATACTGCTCCACCTATATTCAATGATGGCAAACATGTTAGAGCTTTGAATGATAACGAACAGCAAGCTGATGTGCCATAGGTTCACCACCACCAACTGTTGTCTGAAGAGGACCAGATGTGGGATGGAGAAAGCAACTGGAAGCGGCCAGGGAAAAGCTAATGGCCTACAGAGTATCACATTTAAAAATATGTATAGGAACATAGTGTGATCTTTTCTTTGGTGCTCCCATGCTTCCAGTGGACTTAATCCTCAGAGGCCCTGCCTATCCATTCAGGCCTGGGCCACTCGTTCCCCGGCTGCTGATGGCTCACAGCTGAGTCCTTCTCTAGGCCTTGCTGAAGGCAAGCAATGCTCCTACCATGGACCTGCTCCTGCCCTGGAGGCAGCACACATCCTAATTGACTGGTCAGGATAGCAGTACCAAAGCTGCAGCCCTTTGCCTGAAATCAGAAGGGCCATCCCAGCTGTCAGCTCCTGGAGGAATGCTAAGGCCTCTACTGCAGCTGCCTCACAGCTCAGCTTCCCTTCTCATCTGCTGCCCGACTCCTCCACAGGGCATGTCCTCCGAGCACAGCCTCCAGTCACCTGCACGTGGATATCAGAGCCTCCGAGCCTGGTGCCTGGGAACCTGGCCTACACTTCCAGCTGAAGCCCAACTTCCCATGAAAATGTGTTTTAGGTGTTACAGGTCCTGGTATCTCCACATCTAACTGAGAGGTAAAGTGTTTCTTGGTGCTTCTCTGTTGTGGATAGAAAAGAATCTTTTCCTATTCTCTTTTATGCCCTTTGTAAATGGAGCACCTGCTTTGTTTTGATCTGGGTAATTTTACCTGTGAATGGTTGTATTGGTTCCTGATGTCAGTTTTCTGTAAGCTGGCACCCTTCCCATTTTTTTATTGCATTCCAAGTAGTTATTTCAGACCTTGTAAAACAACAGTGCTTCTTTAAACACCTTGATTTTCTATTATCTAAATCTAGTTTCTTCTTCTGTTTCTTGAATTATTTCCTTAGGGAATGTAAAGTTCCTATAAATTCCTTTTTTATTTCTTTTTTATGAGATTATACCTAGTATTTCTATATAGTAATTTAAAATGTATTGAAATAAATTATAATAGGACCTATTCTTTATAGCTCATTATCATCAAAAATGCAATATATCATGGAGTAAATCATGCTCTCCCCAAATGCAACTACAACTAACAAAAGACTGATTCAGGTCCATTGGAATATATGGAAAAGAGGTGGTGATCTTTTCAAAGCACCTTGCCAAATCTTCCCTCCCTCTCAGGCCTAGATTGGGTAAATGCGTCTGGACTTGGGGGAGTAGAAATAAGGAAAGGGGGTGGGTCTCACACTCTGAGCACCGGAGCTTGCCTATGTGCCTGGTAAAATCTCTTGACTGGTTTCCAGGCACCAGGTTACACTGAATTCTGCTCATCCTCACCTATATTCATAGTAAGGGACACGTGGTAGGAGCGGAAGTGCATGCACATAGACCTGCATACTCTAGTCCCTCTGCCCATTCATTTAGAATATTTTTGAGCAGTAACCATGGTACTATCCCCAGGTTTTACTGTGATCAGCACAGAGCATACCAGAACACCAGTCACATCCCCTCTCTCAGCATACCACACTTGATTTGCAAGATGCCTCTTGGTCCTGAATCCCACAATAGTGTAATAAAAGTATTCCCCTGTCCTTTCCTCTTAACAGCTTGCTTTTTTTCATTAAAAATAAAAATGTGTTCTATTTCACATCACCTGCCCCAAGCATGCCTTTTGCTATCAAGAAGAGTATCTTTCCTAGTTAGTCTGGGACTAGACAGTGTTCTCAACACTTTTCAATAGCTTTCTCATAATCTTTTCCCAAACATTGGCTATATGGCATATTTATCACCCCTAGTTTGTGTCACGGTAGAAAATATGGAGGGATTAGTAAGAACTTCGGGTCTAAAGTTGAATCAATTTCCTCATTTAGTCTCTCAGAGCCCACTTTCCTGCAAAATGGGGATAGTATCTACCTTAAACAACTTAATGAGGATCAAAGGAATTCCTGGTGGTAAAGCCACGAGCGGTGTCTAACACATCCTAACTGTAAGTCCCCTTCACTTTTCTTGCTCAGAATTCTTCATGCAAACACACACTCATTCATTTATTCATTCAACAAATTATCACCCTTTGGCACTTACAGTGTGCTAGGCTCAGTGTCAGGCCCTGGAAATACAAACTGAACATGTGGAACAATGCACCTGATATTACACACGTTCTATTCTAGAGAGAGGAGAAGACAGTGAATAAAAGAGAGCAGACAGGGATAAGATTAAAATTAAGCAGGAAGAGATGACAGGCAATACATGGGCAGTGGAGTCCACTTTACACCGTGTAGTCAGAGAGGGCCTCACTAGGAAGACAAAGTTTGAGACCTAAATGACAAGAAGGCAGTAAGCCAACTGAACACCTGAGAGATGAGCTTTCTAGGGAGTAGGACTAGGCCTTGAAGGGCTCTATACTAGGAAAGTAGAGGAAGGAGGGTCATAAGGGGGCATTTGGCCATGTGAAAGAACTAGCATTTTATTCTCAGTGCAGTAAAGAAACTTTGCAGAAATGAAGCAAAGAGGTCAGGAGCCAAGATCTGACTTCTATGACTCTGAGCACCCAGAAGGACCTCTGCTGTGTAACCAGAGAGGAGGGAGGGAGACCACTTAGGAAGCTCGGGTCCGCATCCAGCCCTGGTGGCCTGGATTGCAGAGGATGGGATGGAGATGGCGAGAAGTGAGTGGGTGCTCAGACTATCTCAGTGTGAGTATCAACAGGGCTTGAAGCAGAACTAGAAGTAGGAAGGATTGAGGAAAAGCAAGGGATGGAGGAGGATTGCTGGGATCAAACTTGGGCCATGGAGGGATGCGATGCTACTTCACACCAAAGTAGAATAAATGGGGAGGAGCGCTCTAAGGGCCAAGCAGAGGATTCCGAGGAAGAAAAGCCAGCAGAAGAGAGAAACCAAGGCAGCATTGAGCAAGGAGGATACAGTGCACAAGTCTTTAAACACTAGACTTCCTTCACAAAGTCTCCATGGTCAGCAAACCAGCGTTCTGTCCCATCACCAACCTGGCAACCCAAGAGCAACTTCAGTAGTTAGCTCCCAGATCCATCAGTGTTGTGGGTTGAACTGTATATGCTGGTTCCCCCCGCCCTGGCTAAGGTGGGCTTCAGTCCTAATGCCTAGTACTCCAGAATGTGCCCTCTTTCGAGATAGACCCTTTACAGAGGTAATCAGGTTAGAATGATGGGACCTAATCTAATACAACTAATGTCCTCATGAAAGGAGAACATTTGAGCAGAGACACAAACATGAAAATGAGATCAGGGTGACAGAGCAGAAGCCAAGGACACTGAAGATGCCAGCAAGTCACTAGAAACCAGAAGAGAGGCATAGGACAGCCTTGTTCTCAAAACTCACAGAAGGAGCCACCTTGACAACACCTCAGACACAGATTCCCAGCCTTCAGAACTTGAGACAGTGATCACTGTCATTTCCACTGTTTAAGCCACCTGTTGTGTAAAGCCACTGAGTATCCATCTCTAGCCAATGCCTACAGTCAGTAGAGATAAAGGGTGACCATGGGTCCCAGGCTCTCATAGTGAGTGTCTTCTTTCCACACAAGCCAAAGACAAAATAGTTTTCTGGGACAATGTCAGCCACATGGGTCCTCTCTGGCATTGTTCTCAGTGTTTGACATGGGGCTTTGCTGCCAACTCTTATAAAATGATTCACACCACAGTTCTGTGGGCCCACTGGCTGCCAGGTAGTGACTGATGTTGCGGAACCCCACTGTCACCTGAAGTGGATGACATGGATGGATGAAGTGGATGGATGAAGGCTGCAGACACTGGGGAAAATTGGGACAGAATACACCCCAGCAAACAAAGCCAGGAGGGAAGAAAGAGCCCTGCCTGCTCCCCCAAGTCCAAAGGAACTTGCTTGACAATGTAGACACCTTAAAAGGCTCCTATTTCACTCTGCCTATTTTGTCCCCACAAAGCATACACTTGGCTTCTCTTTTTCCAGACTTATAAAAATTCCTCAAAAATGTGATTTTCATTTTCCTTTCAGAAATTTGGAAAATATTCTTTGAGTGTTGTTATGGTTTGTGTCTGGGTGGCCCCTCAAAGCCTCATGCAGTCATGGGGTGGGCTTCTAGAGTTCATGACTGATTCATGGGTGTGAGTGCTACACCCACACTGGGGCGGGTAGTTTGCTTATAATGTAAGGAGGGAAAGAGGCTGTTCAACCCCTTTTTGCTCTTGCTGCTTTTGCTGTCTTCCATCACCATGAACTGTTGCCCTGTGCCATATGCCACCCTGCCTTGGAGCCAGCCAAGTATGGACTGAAACCTTCACATACTGTGAGCTAAAGAAACCTTTCTTTCCTTAATTTTGGGTGTCAGGTATTTTGTCTCAGCAACAAGAGAAAAGTAACTAAGACAGGTGTTCTAGTTAAATTGGGTTTGATCACAGGAACAGATAGCCACAGATATGCTCAGTGCAAATGATGAGGTGTTTACTGTCATAATCAACATGAGGGTTATTATAAGAATCTTCATAAAAGCAGAACTGTGTACATAGTGTGTCAGGCACACTTACAAATACTTCACGTGTCATTGCTCACTTACTCCTCTATGAAGTACATAGCTGCATGCTTACCCTCATTTTACAATGAGTAAACTAAGTTTCAGAGTGATGAAGTGCTCAATTACACAACCTGGAAGAGATGAGCCAGCACTGGAGCCAACAGCTGGCTTCAAGGAGAAGGCTCCTATAAGTGCTATTTCATGCAGATCTGCGGCTCTCCTACCCCTGCCTTGTGTGCACCCTCCTCTTTCATCTCTCCTCCCTCGTTGTCTATCTTTCTCCCTCTCCTTCTCTGTACCCATCTTCCTCTCTATCCACCTCTTTCTATCTCTCTGAGAATGTCCAGCTCCCCTCTTATGTGTGCCTACTCTGATCTGTTTGAGCTCCTGGCTGGTTTATTCTGCTTTATGCTCTTTGTAACTTTCACTTAGCTTCTACTCCCTTATTCTTCTACTCATCTAGACATGGCCTTTCGTGGCTATGCCAACCGCTCTTTGCTCATGTGAAGAATCCTAATGGGCAGACTACAGGGCGTGTCCATTAGGTGCTCCTTACTCAGTCCAATCAGTTGTAGCTACAGGACTTGGCTCAGGGCAGCTGCTGAGAGTAATGCCTTATAAGCACAGAATCATCTGTTTTTCTCAGAAAAACTATCTACTGATCAATTCTGTCACAGATAAGCCAGCCGATGAGATCCCCACCCTTCCCTGCCTGTGCCTGATCACACCATGTCCCTGGCATAACAATGCTCATGCACGCTATGCGTCTCTGGCGATGGTGGTAGCTGATTATGAGTGAATAAATGAGAATCTTGTCTGGTTCCTCCAAGGGAAGACAAATGGGCCTGGGCTTTCGGGCATATCTGATCATAGGGGAAACTGGGTATCAGGAGGAGGCCAGAGACAGAGAACCATGCCAGTAAGGGGCCAAATGCAGCAGGCAGCTGCCTCTTAGATAAACAGAGTCCTCCATCTGTGTGGGGTAAAAGCTAGAAACCAGGAAGAAAAGCTGCCTGTGTAAAGAGACATAAAGAACCAGCCTATGTCGGGAGGCAAGTGTTCCCACCAAACCAGGGAGAGCATCCAG